AACCAGCTTTGTGGGCTGAGAGTCTGCCAGCCCTTTCATCCAGCACTGGTGGGGAGGGGGGGCTAGTTCCCCATGGCACCGTGCACCCCGCTGGGACCAGCAGCATCCCTCCAGAAACTGCGCTCGGGTGAGTCTGTAACCGCAGAATTGGGCTGGGATCCTGACCAGCGGGCTGCAGGATCTGCTAAATGTAATCCAGTTTGTGCCAAAAGGGGTTCTTCTCCTGCATAACACAACCCAATTTCACCTAGGAAGCCCTGCATGAGATTTAATTTCTGGAGGTGTAAGAACATGTTTATAGAGGGCTGGGGATGATCTGCAGTGTCCCTTTGGACCGATGAGTGTCACTCTTCAAGTTTTGCCCCTTATTCTCAGCCTGTACGAGTCAACCTTCAAATACAGGGCATTTCTGCAAAGCTGCCAACAACCAGCACTGGAGGGAAAAAAGCTCCTTTCCAGCGCAGCACCGGCCGGCAGCCCAGGAGCGGTTCGTTCGGTGCAGCATGGGACAACGCAACCCATAACAAATAGAGGCAGAGCAGGGCACGGGGACGGGGCATCTGAATGCAGCACTGGTGGCTTTCTGGAGCTGCCGGCACTTAAAATGCTCTCCCCACTAGCCACAGCCTGCTCTCTGCATTAATTTCATCACACTCCCTCTTTTGTGCGTGTGTGTGCGCGCGCATGCTGATATCCTTCCAGATGGGCCCCTCTTCTTCTTTGTGCTGCTGAATCGATGAAGAGGCTTCCTTCAGTTCTTAGACTTTTTCAGAGGAGCCTTTGGAAAGCCGATCTCCGGTCACCGGCCCAGACCCCTGACCCGAGCCAGATCAGTCATCCTGATTGCCTATGAACTGGGAAGACAGCTTGGGAATACCGTGGCTTTCGAGCAACGGAGGCCTCTCGTTTCAGCTCAGCCGGGTGTGAATCTGCAGCGGCTCCTCTCCCCACTTCCATCAATGCCTGTCAGGGCATTGTGCGGAGATGTGATGGAGCCCTCGGCTCGCTGAGCGGCTTTGGTGACCAGCAGAAAGCCTTCTGGCATCTCGCCTCGTCTGACGTGCTCACGGCGCTGCCAGTCTGGCACTCGCGGGAAAGTTTTCCAACAGCAGATGTCCCAAAGTGACAGATTTTTTTCCTGTTGACGGGAAGAAATAAAAGGACACTGCATATTTCAGATGGTTGACGCACAGAGACGCTCTGCGCCTCCTTGCGCAGCAACTACATATTTTCCTTTTGTCTGAGCTTCCTTAAAAAAAGAAAAAGACAAAAAGCAGCAAAACCTGGGAAAGCTGCTGGACTGAACACTGACCCTGCTGCGCCGCATCCTCTGCATCCCAGGGGGTGATGCAGTGGGCGAAGGCAGGAAAAATTTGTTAGTAGTTAAGGTGAAAACAGATGCACAGCAGAGGTATCAGCTGGGATGGTGCTGGCGTTCATGTAACTCACTGCCAGCTCCTGCCCTCCTCATCGCAGCTACCAGCGTGCTTCAGAGCTCACGGCGGGGTCGTGCAGGGAGCTCGTCAGCCTCCTTTAGAGATCTGCCAGTGGGTGTTAGAGGGACCAACAGAGAGAAAATCCTTACTCTCATGAAGCTGGTGTTTAGATGCTGGGCATTCTGCTTGCCAACTTCTCCGCGCTTGGTTTCCGCTCCTTACCCAGGTTTATAGACATAGGCAAAAATCCAGTTGTTTTATTGACCCTGTTGCTTGCACATCATTCCAGGTAACGTGGGCCCCAGGTAACGGATGGCTGAGGCTCTTATTGTACAGTATGTCCAAACGCAGCCTTGTAAATCTCAATGAAAATGAACTTTTCAAAGCCTGAGGGAAGTTTCCAGCTACCTGCCATGTCCACTTTGTGGAAATTTATTTTATTTATTTCTTCTGACTTGACTTTGCGTGACAGTGTTACCGGCCACCCTGGGACCTCTGCAGAGAGGCAGCTGGGATGTCCGAGGCTCTGCCCAGCTCTGGGTCCCAGTGGCCAAGTGCTGTCCTGCTCCAGGAGCGCTGGCATCCAGCACATCATCTGTGTTGCACAAGAGGAGCTTTGCCCAGGAGAGAGATGTCTTTGGCCCCAGCATCGTGCTGTTGTCGTCAGGCTCCTTGCACCCTTGCACTGCTTTCCAACCAGGCTCCTCTCTTCCCTCCTCTGCATCTTTTCCTCTCTCCATGTAAAGCAAATAAATACACTTGGAGGCAGCAGAGCCTAAATACTCCTCCTTGTTCCTGGGCTGCTTCGTGCTTAGGAAGCTTAACACTGCTCTTGACTTGCATGCCAGCCCAGCCTGGCTGCTCCTGGATGCCCAGATGCACAGCGGCCACGTGGAAATAATCCCTGCATTGACGGGGCAGAAGGAAGCACTGCTGCTCCTTCCACACATCTGCTTTCTGCAGAGCTGCAAGTACAGCTTTCGGATGGCGTAATCCTGCCTTCTGCCATCTGTCCTCACAGGAATCAGCCCTTGTTGACACAGTTGAGCCACACATAGGGGTCATTCCTCCCTGTGCCCCCCTCCCAGCTCTGCCTTTCTCCTTCCATTTAATCAGATATGTTGAGCCCGTGGCTATGAGGGGAGCTTAGGGCTGATTCTCTAAAATCACCATATCAGCTGAAACCATCACATTTGATATTCCATTTACAATGTTTCCAAGGAAACAAAGGCACAGGACATAAATAGATGACTGTTAAACATTTGCTCACTCACCATGGCCCTGATAATTTGCAAGGCAGAAATATGAATGTTAAATCAACAGCAATAATAAATTTTAATATAGGAAGACCTATATTTCTCTGCAATTAGAAGAAGCATTCGTTCTGACATACAGACAGGCAGTGGCAGGTTATTTATCATTTCCACTTTCCATGTACAATTTTTCACTTACATAAAGGGCAGCTTTGATTACGACTCCCAAAAAGCCATGAAGTGCCCCTCGCATCAGCAGGGGTGCTTGGGATTTACTCATGTGCAGTCAAGTCCCAAGTCCACCTGGAATTCACCGCAGGAGAAGAAAATAGTTTATTTCTCCCTAGAAGCAAGCAGGGGATATGGATTTGGTTAGGTTCGGGTCATTTCTTACAGAAAAATAGCAACCAAAAAGCTCATGCAAGCTTTGGCGTAAGCCAGCGAGATGATGCTGAAGCTTGGAGGCATTGTGGTCTCCCAAGCATTCATGCCAAGCCAGAAGCAAACCGCAGTTCAAACAAACTGGGCAGGACTGGAAATACGGATGTACAAATAGGGCTTAATCCTGAGTGGTGCACGTATGGGTGATGCTCTAAAATGGAAGGGGAAGCAGTGGTGAGCGGTGTTTTATTCAGTGCTGTGGGGTGTGCTCTATAAGCATATCTATAGGACTAGTCAATCCCCACAATTTGCAGTAACAAATACAATTTACAGTGGTGTCAAAGCTGTCACCAGGTTTAGTTGGTCCAGTCTGGACCCCTACAGGAACTTTATTTCCAAAATTTTCCCCAAGATGCCCTGTTTGTGAGAACATCCTACCTGGACTAAGGGCATCATAAGCATATTGTATCATAACCTGAGCTGCTGCCTCAAGATGTTTTTTGGTAGAAACATCTCCAATGTCAAAGGCTGCCTTTCCACGTCTAGCTCGGAGCTGGAAACAGTGTGGTGAGACTTCCCTGCCTCATGTCTTGGAAGGGTGTTTATTTATGGGGTCTTGTGTCTGCTGGATAGTCACAAACTGAATCACGTTGTTCCTGTCTTGGTTTCTGAGGAAGGGCGCAAGCCCTGGAGAGAGCAGAGCTTTCATTGACGGGTCCCTGTTTGTGAACAAATGTTGTTAAGAAAAGCTGTTTTGCATGCTGAATGGCAAGACAGAGCTAATGCGTTGCACAAATTATTTCTGATTCAATATTTGCTGGTGTTGTTTTAAAGATACTGGGCAGTGCAACCTATCAGCTGGCCCTGAACTTGCTCCGGTTGTACACAGCCATTGCCAGAGCATCATGCAGCTCAGAAAGGGCCTTCAGTTCAGGTGGCCACATGTACGTGGACTCTCGTTGTCCCTGTGCCCATCAAGCCACTAAACACCCCTCCTAGAGGTGGTGTGGAGATGGGCACCGTGCTCAGGAACACACTCATTTGGGAAGTTGGTATGTGGTTGGCTTTTCCCCTTCCTTTAGGGATGTTTTCCACCAGGGTAGCCAGTGCCTGTCTTTATCTTGGAGGCTGACAACAGCATCTAAGCCTGGTGTGGAGGCCCCCAAGAGCAGGCTGGAAGAACTGTCCTGCTTGCTGCCCTGGGAGAGCAAGCTTTGATGCGCCAGCATCAAAAAGACGCTCAGAGGTTTTGCAGACAAAACCTGCGACTTGCTTGTAAGCTTTGGCTTTTGGCTTGTGGTGATCATGTTTCTGAAAATGCAGAAGCAGGAGCTGAGGCTGTAACCCTGCTGGATAAGTCAGCTAATCCCAATGTTACCCTAAGACTGCTCTAATGTGCTATAATGCAATGCTATAGAGCATCACCAGAGGGCTTTCTGGCTGCGCTTGATTAGACTTGGCTTAGCAACTGTGTGCAGTGCCCTGGATGGGTCTCACTGGTGTGTACTGGAGCTAAGCCAGTTAAAGCTGGTTTGGGTGTATGGATGCACTTGCCACAGAGGTATCTCTGTAGTGTATCTCAGAAGGTATCTCAGAAGCTGGGATCTTCCTGAATTCAGGGCTTCAGATCCTGCCATTCCCTGTCCCACCCTGTGTCCCCATCTGGCTGTACTTGAACCGCAGTCTCTGCAAGTCAAGACAGAGATAATCTGCCCAGTCACAGGATCTGGGGAATGATGCAGCCACCTCCTGGGCTTTTCTTTCCCCAAAAGCACCAGCCCACAGCTTCCTGCAAGCTTTCTGTGGAAATAGAGGCATGTGGAATGTCCTGCCATCAGAGCCAGTGTGGGGCCATGGCATGGCTGGAGGGGAGGGACGTCCACTGCGGAGCACTCAGTGAGATGCTTGTCCCTCTCGTGTCCCCATGCAGCACTCTCTCCATCTACGGGATCAACCAGGCGGATGAAGCCATCTACCAGTGCATCGCCGAGAACAGCGCCGGCTCCACGCAAGCCAGCGCTCGCCTGACGGTCCTGTGGGCAGATGGGCTGCCCGGTCCTCCGCAGAGCGTGAAGGCCGAGACTGTCTCTGCAACCACCATCCAGGTGTCTTGGAAAGAGCCTCTGCAGAACACCAAGGAGATCATCGGCTACGTGCTGCACATTCGGAAAGCTGCAGGTACGGTGCTCTACCCACTGCCCGAGCATCCTCAGCCTTCCCATAATTTAGCAATACGGCCTACTAGATAAACCAGGTCTGCACTGCAGTCGACAGTGCTGCCACCCATGTTCTCTATCATGTCCATGTTTGTGAAAGTCAAAGATGAGGCGGTAACGCTGATGTAAATACCAAAAGGGTGGGGAGGGTGAAGCCACGTAGTCAAATCTCGCTGCCCATTTAGGTCTCTGGCAAAGCACACAGAAACATCAGCCGAAAAGGATGTGAACAGATATATATCCACCTTAGGGACCAAAATTATCACTTGCAACCTCAGTTTAGTCTCTTTACCTCTTGCAAAGCCTAACGCCACTCTGTTCTTTCTTTCTTTGCGCTTCAGATCCCGTAGAGATGGAGTATCAGGAGGCTGTTAGCAAGAGCACCTTCCAGCAGCTAGTGACTGATTTAGAGCCCTCGACCAGCTATAGCTTTTATATAAAGGCTTACACCTCCCGGGGTGCCAGCAAAGCCTCAGAAGTCACAGTGGTGAGCACGCTGGGAGAAGGTAAGGAACGCTTTGCGCTTGGACCATCAGATGCTGAAACCCGCTGTGCGTAGCAGCAGCGCCAGTCACCCTGATACCCACTCCGGAGCGCTTTGGCACATAGCCTGTGGTGCTGATGCTCCTTGTTCCTGCTCCTCCTCATACTCTGGGATATTGTGTAAAACTCACTTGCATCGTTACACGGGGGTTGACTGGTTGCCTTAAATGCGGCATTGCCTCTCACAGCTGATGTTGTAGCAGGGGGTGAGTGCAAGTCTGGCTGGTCTCGTGCGTTGCAGCTGCTCTGGGCTTTTCCTAAACTGCTTGCTAAATGCAGATTTCCTATTCAAGCAGCGTCTCAGCATCCTCCAGCAGCTCTGGTACTCACAGCTCTTACTGGATAGGTGCCACACTTTTTTAAATATGATTTTTTTCTGCTCTACCCTGGAGAAATCACACAAGAGCTGAGCTGTCCTCACCTACAAATCCCTGCCTTGGAGCAGCTTTCTGTTTCAGTGGGAAGTTAGGGCTATCTCTAAGGCTTCTTCCCTGACTTGGCCTCCCAGATGTGGCCACCAGTTAGCTTCCCCAGTAAGAAAGTGGGTGCTCTAATGCAGGACCCTTGCACACAGACACCAGAGACCACAGCCCCAGTGTGATCTGTCAGCTGGCATTTTAGTAACGTTTTCCTAGAGACTCATGTACCTCTCCAGCACCTCTGAATCCTGGCTCGTCTCACGTACAGAGACGAATTTCTTAGGAGCATTGCATCGTTCTCGTGAACACTCAGTAATCATGAATTTGCAGCAGAGAGGGCCATGGGAGGGGAGATCTTATTTAGGATCAAATGAAAGAGTGCATTGACTTCCAGGAGAGGGATCCAGTTCTCATTCCATTTTCAGCCCTTGCAGAGGTTTGCTACAGCATTTAAGCAACAATGCCAATAAATCCTCGTCCTGCTGGGTTTGTTACCCTGCAAGTTTATTTTCCTCGGTACTCTGCAGGGAATGGGTCACCCTTGGAGTTTGTTTTTCCTTCTAATTTAGAGACAGAAGGATGGACTAAGGCAAAACTTGAAACTCCTTGACCTGATGTTCTGAGTTCAGCTACTGGAGCTAGAAGCCAGCCATGCTTCACAGAGCTTGGTGTTTCTGCAGAAGTCTGGGTCAAGCCAGAGAGGACTTTTTGTCATTATTACCTTCAATCATGACAGAAATAGTTAGGTATCCGGTAATGGGATCATAAATTTCCTGGTTCTCTGAAGTTTCAAGGCATCACTGTCCTGCCCTGCTATCCTTTAAAAAAGGCTTGTCCTGTGTAACGAAGCTTCAGCAATTAGCTCCATGTTCAGGATGGACAAGCTGGCCTGGTTAAGATCACTCAACCCCAGCTTGTGTTTGCCTTGTAGGAAGATAAAAAGAGATTTAAAAGCCCCAGTTCTGGCTTGATTTGTTTACTTTGCTTCACTCGGGTGCCTGTTGCCTTCTGCTCACAGAGGAGACAGTGGGTCAGAGAGCCAGGATCCAGTGGCTTTTGTCACCAAATTAAAGTTTCACTGCAGATTTGCCTTTTCTCACAGCCAAGCCATTTCACCCTGTGCCTTCCTGAGGTGCACGTGACTCCCCTGGGCTAGGGCAGCCCCTGGATCTGTGCTAACAGCCTCGGAAAGGGACGGGATTTCCCCGACACGCCGTGTCTCGGTGTTGTCATCCCGGCTCAGCATGACGCGTGTGAGGTGTGCAGAGAGATGCGCGCGAAGCCCCGTGGTAGCAGGACCCCCCCGTGTCACCATGCTGCCGTGTCCTGCCTTGCATGGAAGGGACACGGCGGGTGAATCTGCCAGCCAGGGACAGCTCGGCGGAGCCGGGGCAGCACTTGTCGGAGCGGCCAGCAGAGATGCTGCCAGCTGGAGACTGGTTGGAATGACCGTGTTATACTGGTGTTGTCTAGAGTAGGAGTGCGGTGAAAGGACTGAGGAGCAGGGCTGCGTTCGGCTTGGGGAGGTCAGCTTTTCAGGGCTAGGAATATGCTGAGAATGAGCTTGGCTGAAGCCTCCAACACTTTCTCGAAGTGCAGTGCTCCTTCCTTTGTGCCAGTGATAATTTTGGATGGAAAGTAGAAGGGAAGATGCCATAGAGAAACTACCCAAGTGAACCTTGTCCTCCATAAACCTCTCTCGCTAGGAAGGTCCTCCTGTCTCCTCCCTGTCATTCTCCTTTACGCCATTTCCAAATACCGTGGTATTTTAAATCTCAAACTCTCTCTGCTTCATTAAGCAGCACACACTTCTTGTTCTTGTCTTTTAATGCTTTTTAGGGTTTTCTCCAGGACTTTTTGACATTTCTCTAGGATGAAGACTGTTCCTTTAGTCATCTTCGGCTAAAGACGCCTTCAAGAAGAAAGTTGAAATGACCTGGGGAAAATTCCAAACAGCACGGAAGAGGAAAACAAGTATCCCAGCCCTTAGCATAAGGGAGATGCCTCACTTATAGTAGATCCATATTATGTCTTATATATACTTCTGTGAAGCACCTATACACTGGTGTGTGTACATATATTTATACACACACGCAGATATACTTCATCTGTATACACTTATTTGTGTAATAACATTATAAACAGCACATGCATTCTGCAAGTGCATACATATAATCAATATTATACATATATATACTCAAAGTTTGAATAAATACTATATATTCCATACTTCAAAGGAGAGATATTCTTGTGGTTTTTATTAAATGTAAGGCTCTGCAACCATAAAATAAAGCCAACTCTTCGCAAATCAGGATGGCCCACATCAGTGTTTCTTTGTCCATGGGATAATGCGATTTCCCTTTCTGTGGCGTTTTCACCCATGATTTGGAAAATGATGCTTTAAGCAAGAATCCAACTTCTCTGAGGGGGGATCCAAACAATTCCTAATTTTGCCCTAAAGGGAATTGGGAGACAGAAAAAAAAAGTATTTAATTGGATTGCAAAATATGCAGTCTTGGGAAGAATGGTACATTCTGGTATAAATAGAATTTACTCTGTGTTTTGCACCCAGAAATTGCTAAGCACAGCCTTCCCGTCAATGAAATCAGAATAAATCCTAGCAAGAGAAGTATTTCAACCCATTTTTTCCCATGGGCAGCACTCAGGCAGGATGGGATCTCATTAACCTGACCGAGGACAGCCGCTCTCTGAGTCTTTCCTCCTGAATCCATATGGAGATGCTCACCAGTCAACAGGGACTTGTTCCTCTCCCCGTGCTTATTCAGAGGGCATCAGGCAAAGCCCTTGCAACCTTGAAGGAGGGCATCACTTTGGGAAAAGACAGGATTGTCGAGACTCTCCTGCTCACCAGGAGAGATGTCTTTCCTTCCCCTAAATCTCCTCATGGGAAAGCTTGAGCTCTCAGTGCCTGGGAAAAGGCAAACTGTTGTGCTGTGCGGTTTTGCCTTTACTATTAAATGGAGGGAGTGCCCTTTTTAGCTCTCGTCAGTCTTCGATTGACACGGCCACATTTCATCCACTTTTCACCATCGCTCACTAAATGGCTGTGCTGAACTCTCCGCCAAAGGACGCCGTCAAGGCTGGGTTTGCACAGCTCATCCTTTAGAGATCCTTTGGGGAAAAACAAGACAAAAAGCAGCATTGGTCCAATGCAAGCCCAGCAATCCTTATATTTGGGGATTTCTGAGCTTGTAATCATGTGGGATTGGAAAAATAGCTCTGCCTCAAAGCCTGGAGACCCTGGAGAACAGACAGGTCTGTTGTTCTGCTCGGTGCTTTTGCTGCAGGGTTTAGCTGAGCTCGCTGCCTGGTAGAGCAGTGCCCAGAAAGCCTTCTGCCTCCTGGTGCCGGAGCAGAGCCCTGGGCAGGCAGAGCCTGCAGCGCCTGGTGCATTGCACCTTCTGAATGGTGCCAAAGGCTGGAGAACTGATGGGAGCATTTGGCGTGGGGATGTTTTGTGGAAATGAGGTGAAAAAAAATCATCAGTTGAGATACATCTGAGATACATCTCTGCATGGTGTGATCCACGTATGAGAAAGAGAGGAAGAGGGGAAGGAAGAGGCTTGGGGGAAATGAGGTCCCGTGTGCCCCAGCACTGCACAGGGCTCCGGGGCAGGGTTTGTGCAGAACCAGCTTTGGAAAACCCAGATACCTGGGCATCACAAGAAAACTGGCTTTGGTTTTCAAATCTTTGCCTCTCAGCCCAGGCTGATGGGGCAGGATGGGGCTGGGCAGCTTTTTTGGGACCTGGGGATGAAATGGCCGTGACCCCCTCGCTGCAGCACACCCCCAGAACAAGGGCAGGGTTTTGGGGCATTGACTGGAGCAAAAAGTATCCTGGTGGACTTTGAATCAGGCCTCGGTGACACCGGGCAGCAAGCAGGGACATCTTCCCAGCTAAACCCCCGTGCCCCCATGCGCCCCTAAGGCCAGGTAAGTGCCTGCCTACCAAAACAAGCCAGCCACAGCTGTGCAGGGATCTCAGGCTGCTCAGGTATTTAGGGCTGTTAAGGAAGATGCCCCGGTTCTCTCCCAAGTCCCCAGCACAGAATCACAAACCTCCCTCCTAAAGCCAACGGGGAGAGCAAGCTCCCACGCACCCTGCAAGCTAGTGCAGGTACCTAGCAAGCTTTTAAGATGGATGTCTCCAGCTCCATCCCTTCTGGTTCCTTCCTCCCTGAGGGATTAATCATTCTGAAAGGTCCTCGCTACCCTCAGGGCGAGGGCAGAAAAGTGGAACTTGGGAATGCATTGCCAACGTTGCTGACTTCCTGCCCTGACCCAAGGGGGCTAAGCATCAGATTGCAACCGGAGTGTAAAAGTAGCCTCTTTGCTTGCTGAACGGAGCAGAGGAAACCCTTGGAAACTCCTACAGCTCCCTGAAGAAGTTCAATGCTGTTAAACCAGGATCTGGTCTGATCTGATTTTTCTCAATCTCGTCTAGCACGTTCTTTGGTGCAGTTACTACAGGGAAAGGCTGCTGGGGAATTTCTCATCATGCAAACTAAAAAAGCACATGCAACCCACTGTCTTTCTCTCTCTGTTTCAGTCCCAGCCATGCCATCTCTCTTTATTAAAGTCATTAACAGCACCGCCGTCCAGGCTACATGGGAGCCCTCCATCAAACTGGGCCAGCACGAAGGCTTCAAACTGTATTACCGCAAGGTCCACCTCTCCCAGTACACAGGTCCAGTGCTGCTGCCCAGCAACGTAACAGCGTACAACATTACCCACCTGGGTGAGTATGGTGGCAGCTTGATCCGCATCCCCTCCTGACCCTGGGAGAGCCTGTCGTGATGGGAGAGCTCAGCTGTGTTGCACAGCCACTAAATGGGAGCTGCTGCAGCTCTCCCCCAGGTTTTTGGGGTGCTTTCCCAGTAGGAGGTACTTGTTTGCAGCATCTTGTGTGTATTTGGTAAGATGTGTGTTTCCTAAATAAGCATCACTCGGGGAGATAACGCTAATGATGAAGGCTGAAATGCCCTTCTTGTGTCTCCTTTGAAACAGATGCATCGGTGGTGTATGAAGTCAAGCTCCTCGCCTATAACCAGCACGGGGATGGAAATTCAACTGTCCGCTTCGTGTCCTTGAGGGAAACTGTGGAGAGGACAGGTGAGATGGGATGTCGGTCTCGGCGGTGGTTAGTGAAAACCGCTTTGCAGGAAGGTGGCTAGGCCAGACACATCCCCCAGACACCCGCGGCTCTACCCCACCGTCTTATTTTCAGCCACTCATTTATTTTCAGCATCACAAATAATGACGAAGCAAAACTCTGTGGGGCTGGGACCACCTGGGGCTGGTAGGGGTGGCTTCTCTGCCATGTGGTTTTCACCATCCCTGTTGGCCTTCATTAGCATTAGCGAGCCAACACCCCTTCACAGCAGAGTTCAACCTGGTGACTTTTTCACCAGGGGGGAGAGGACTAACCAAACGTCCTGTAATTCCCAGTTTTGGCCCCTAAGCTTGAGCTAGAGGTGAGGCCATGAACATGAACAAGCCCCCATGCATAAACTGCCATCGTCAGGTGGGACGTGGTGCATCGAGCATCTCTGTTCTCCTGGAGCAATCCTGGATATTTTGACCTTCGCTGGTGCCGGGAAGGGAGAACGCATGGCTTTGGAAAGGAGAAGGGCTGCAGAGCATGAGCACTGCATTATGTGGCAGAAAAGGGGAAATCTCTAGAGGGGAATCTCTAACTGATCACACCTTTCATATTCATCTATGTGTAAAAAACATCCTGCTGCTCTTGGAAGCGTTTTAAGCCTTCCAGTGGGAATATCTTCAAGAGACAGTTACCGGTCCTCTGTCTGTGTTGGAGTAAATACTCGTTGGCATCTGCCCGTTCGGTGCTTTCCATCAGGCATCAGCCTGCTCTAGCATCGTGGCCGCCTCTCACGTCCCACCTCGGATGCAGGGTTTTGCAAAAATTAACATCGGAGTCTTTTTTGTTCATTAATTTGTGCCTAATACCAGCAGCCCGGGTAATGGGGCTGGCTCTCTACGGACCTTCCAGTCCTGTGCTTGCTGTGACTGCCTTCCTGGGTAGCAGGAGCAGGGGAGCTGCTCTGGCAGGCAGTGATCCCCCAGCCCCCCACCCCACTCTCCTCTTCCCCGTACACGGCTCCCAGCACCAACCAGGCTCCAGCTTTTGCTCTGGGCTCCCCAAAAGCTGGAGGAGCAATAGGAAAACAGCACCGCTGACCTCCTCTCCCCTTTCTTCTGGCAGTGCTGAATCCCCCTTGCGACTGCATGAAGGACGAGCAGAACAATAAAACCTCCACCACCGGCATCATCATTGGGATCCACATCGGCGTCACCTGCATCATATTCTGCGTCCTCTTCCTCATGTTTGGGTACAGAGGAAGGTAGGAATTGCTGGTGCCGCTGCTCACGAGAGGCGGTGGTCCCTAATGCCATGTGCGTATCCCTGCGGGGATCTCACACCCCCAATGCGATGATGGGCTGTTTCCCACGCACATCCTGGGATGCGCATCCCACGGCGTGCGATTGCGCAGCCCGGCTCCCGTGAACGCCGGGTGCTGTTTGCAGCACGGCTCCTGCCTCCTTCCCAGGCACCCAGACCCAGCGGGCTTCTCCAAATACACCCCACCAGCTCCGGTCACCATTGAGGGACCTGGTACTTCCCAGGACCATCACTATTTGTGCTCTGGCAAGTCCGGATCCTCCCTGTAAACCAAAAGCCCTTTCACAGCGAGGGGAAGAGACGTGGCTTTAAAGGAGGGATTTAAGGAGTGAAGGAACGTAGCACAGGGATAAGGTGGACACAGACTTGGGGGAAGGAAGCGGGGGAGGCACCGGCTTTGCTCACCCTCAGGCTTCGTCTCTATTTTTCAGGCTGCTGATGTGCAAAAATGTGCAGGAGCAGCTGTCAACCCCGCAGATCCCCAGGAGCCAGCGGAGCGCCACGGGCCTCGTCCTGAACGGGGCCGCTCGCAGGGACAGGGACGACCGGGACTTGAATGGAAAGCAGCTGGATATGAACGAGCTGGAGAGGTTATTCCCAGCATCCCCATCCCAGGAGCAGCAGGATAAGGGAATAACGGTAAGTCCAGCAGGCCGGGAGCATGGCTGGGAAATGCAGACGCGGCTGCGTCTCTAAGAGCA